AATTTCGTGTCAATTATTTGAATTATAAATTCATATTGGTCATTTCATAATCAAAATAAATATATTATAAAAATAATAAAATTATTTGAATTATTCGATATTTGTTATGATTTGTTATCATGATATTTGTTATGATTCTTGTGATTTTAAACAGAAAAATTTTCAAATTTTGCCTTTTACTTTTCCTCCTTTCTCTTTTACTTTCACAAAATTATTTTACAAATGTTACAGTTTTAAGAGTTTCAAAAAAAAAAAATCCTTATGAATAATTTTTTTGCTTGAATTTGTTATTCTACCAAAACCATTCTTCTTATATTGTGTACAATTGATTTTTGGTCATCGTCAAATTCTATCAATCACAAAATAGTGCCATTAGATGTATCAATTGATATAGTTTGTAATTACAAGTCATCGTTCATGATTAAATTTTTTTTTAATATTTTTTTTGTTAATTAGTACTTTAATTACTTAATCATTAGATATTAATAAAGGAGAAAGGAGGGAAAGAGAGACAAAATTTAAAAATTTGTTCTTTTTAAAATCATAAGAATTATAGCAAACATAATGTCAAAAGAGATGATTAGTCTATTTTATTGAATCTTGAAATCATTAGTATAATTTTGTTATTTATTTGTGTTGTCTAATTTATTGAATGTGAATTTCATGAGTGGTAAAATGTGTGTATTAATTATTTTTAACTTTTAATTACTTTCATTCTTTTAGTAATACAACTTATATGCATGCGTAAAGGATATTTATGAAATAAAAGTTCATCTCTCTGTTTAAAGTATTTTTTTAATATTACTTTTTCTAATTGAACTAACTTTGTTATCAAAATTTTAATTTCAAAGGAGATTTGTATAATTTTACAAACTTAAGGGGAGACTAGTAAGATTGTCAGAAATTTAAGGGAATGTTTCTAAAATTATTCCTTGGTAAACTTCAAAACAGTTGGCCGCTCTTTTATACATCTCATTCCTGGTTTCCATTTTTTTCTTGTACAAATAATCTTACAATCTTTATAAATCATAGGCCATTGTTTTACATCCTTCGATCTATTACTGGATGCCTACCATTTACCTAACACTTAGGTTGTTCTGTGTATAAATTTCTACCACTTGATCAATTATTTTTTGTATTTTTATCATACATTTACCATTAGATTGGACCATGATTCAATGGAATAGTTTACTTATTGTTAACTGTCTTTTAGATGAAAATTTTGACAATAGCAAACTCAGAAGGTATATTTGACAAAGCAGATTAAAGTTTTGAAGCTTTATTCATTTTGTTTGTTCTCATAGCTTCCTTCTTGGTCATTTTCATAAAACAAATGACACAAGATGTGCATCTTCTTCTTCAATAACTTATCGTCAATACAACATTATTAAAACAAAAAACATTCTAAAGTTTATAGAAATCAATATATTTTTCCAATCATACACATTTGTATTTAAACATTCTAAAATTTTTTATAGAAATCAACATATTTTTCCAACAATACACATTTGTATTTACATGTCAAACCAAAAGAAACAAATGTGAATTCACTTTCTATAAAATGCAATTACTAATATATTCAACAAAACAACTTATTATTTCCTATGAAAAATATAACTACTACTACAAAGCTATTGTTTCATCAATTACTGCCAATGAATATTTTCCAATGGGCACTGGTTGTGCATAGCACAGCCTACCCCTATTAGTTTTCTTCATTTTTCTCACTTTTTTCTTTGTCTATTCTACTTTTGTCAATGCTCCAGCATAGCAGGTACATTTTTTAAAACACCCACGTTACCATCTTCACCATCACAAAAACCCATCAAATTGTGAACTATCTATCTCTTTTTATTTTTCTCTATTTTAGCCTTGATAACAGCCTTCACTCCATTTATGGTGTTTTCTACATCTATTTGTCATGAAGATTTACCATCATAGTTGTACAAATCGCTATTTCCGTAAGATGGAAAAGAACCGCCTTTTGCTGGACTTTGTCTATAAGTCCGTATGGATATCGCTAGAAAGATATAATTGCTATAAACTCTTCAAGTTAAAATGCTATTTCAACCGAGAACTACACAAATACTTGCACTGGGAATCATGGTGATGAATCCAAGAATCCAAAAATGTTTGCAAAATCACATCAATCTATAGTGAAAAAGCTACCCGGTGAAGTAAATTTTTCAAAAAAAGAAACAAAATCTACTATCGGAGGTAGAAGTACGGATTCAAGAGCAGCAATAGCTGAGAAACATGAACAATGTGAGATACCGGCAAAATCCATAACCATGAAACCCAAGAAGCTAGCTGGTGAAGGAAATCTAAAAAAAATGAATCGGTCATCAGAGAGTACAAACTCTGCATAGCAAAAGCCCAAGAAATCTAAAAATAGCAGTGGTTTTACACAGTTTTTCTTTTCAGTACAAGAGGCAATCACTTTCGCCATTATCGCAGTTGGCTAGTCCATGAATAGTGTGTGTAGAAGACCAGTGGTTTTACACAGTTTTTCTTTTCAGTACAAGAGGCAATCACTTTCGCCATTATCGCAGTTGGCTAGTCCATGAATAGTGTGTGTAGAAGACAACCGGTCTCATGGAGGATGTTAAAATGTTAAAAATAAAAATAAAGGAAATCAGGTAACATCAAGCTACTAAAAAGAAGATTAGAGCTCTCAAGAAAAGTTAGCAGACAAAACAAACTGAGATGAAGTAGGTCACCAAAGGCTGAAGCGCAAAGTTGATGACGTCATGCAGAAAAAACGGGTGGTGAATTGGTATACACTTTTCAAGTAATTCTTATCATCTATTAAAGATTCAAGAAACACACTGAAGCCATTCGCCGTTAATTTTTTACTATCTTTTTCGAGTTTAATTGGACCAGTGACAAATAGTAATTATTAGTCCGTTTCCTAGATCACTCCCCGATCTACATGGCTGGAAATGTAAATGGTTAAACTAATTTTTTGTTTGATAAATTCTTGAAGCAGTTGCTTGTAACAAATCATCGATGATCAATTACCATGCTGGTTTAATTGTGTGACCAAATGGAGTAATAGCGAGTTACAAATACGCATAATTAAATCCAAAAATAAAAGAAAGGATTAAATGCTAAAAGTCTCCACGAAATATTATATTAGTTGTACTTTACACTTTAAAGTATTTTAATTGGCACTCTACACTCTTGATAAATTACAAAATGAAGAAATTAACTTCATCTAAGTAATTGATGAAACGATTAGCTTATCCTTCATTAAAAATTTAAGCGGTAAAAATTCTTTTTGGTGGGAAAACATTTGTTATTTAGGGTCTGTTTGGTAGGGTGTAAAATGCTTTCCCTGGGATGACATTTTCCTTAAAAGTAATTTTCCAAGAAAATATTTGGTTTCTTCATTATTTTCTTGTGTTTGGTTTAATTTTTTGAAAACATTATTCTGTTAGATTTATGAGTAAAGGATTGTGTTCCACATTGGTCCAAGAGATGGAGAAAGAGCGATTAATATGTAAATAAAGGTCCAAAACCTAATAGGTTAAGTTTTTGGGTCAGAGTTGGGTTCCTGATTTACATATTGGGCTCTTTGGCAGACTCACTCGAGGTGTTTCTCCTTATCAAATTGGTATTAGAGTTTCAGGTTGTGAGACTGGGCTATTCATGGGCAAGTATATTTTTCTCGGAGTTGGACCAGGTAAAAATTCTCTTCTTAATGGTGGACCGAAGTGTCAAGAAGTTTGGTTGGTGTTGGACTAGGTGTACCATAGGTTTGGCAGGGGGTTCGGTTAATGTTAGACCAAGAAACCAAGGGTTGGCAGGGGTGCAGAATGCAGTTTGGATGTTGAAGAAGAGTGGGTCTATATTTGAGAGAAGATGTGACTTTGGTGATAAAGATGGACTTACATTGAGTATTAAAGTGGACTCGAAAAATGATTAGTAAATTTGGGTTTAATGTGAGGATTACTCATGAAGGGAGAGATTTGTTAGATTCATGAGTAAATGGTTGTGTCCTACATTAATTAGAGGGATGGAGAAAGAACGGTTAATATGTAAATAAGGATCCAAAATCTAATAGTTTAAGTTTTTGGGTCAGAGTTGAATTTCTGACTTACATATTGGGTTATTTGATGGATTCTTTTGAGGTGTTTCTCCCTGTCATATTCTCAACAAGTAATAACCATTAGATCAAACTGGGCCTTATGGTTCGTGGTTTCCCTTCACTTGTAATCTCCTTCGCATGCTACATCACCACCAACGTAAAACTCCACAAAATTGATTATTTGCTGAAAAGTCACCGTTGGCGTTAACATCGAAGCACAAGGTGGCTCTATTCCGTTGCAACCTTCACTATTGGGCTCATGGTGGCTTTTCTCTTTCCGACTGTTGATCTGTCCTTTCTTTCTCTCTTCCTAGGTTGCAGTTTATCTTGATTTCTCTTTCTCCATTTATGTCTTTCTCTGTCATCGAAGAGTTAGCTATCTACCGTGGAAGAGGTAGGTGTTCGCTGTGTGAGAATGGGCAATGGCTGCAGGCGATAGAAAGCAATTTTAGCAAGTCTTTTTATGGAAGTTACTTTACACCTTGAGGTGTAAAATATTTTACGCAGAAAAATATTTTCATCAACAATAATAATTTAATCAAACACCGGAGCTCAAGGAAGTTGTTTTCGGAAAAAAAATTTTCAATTGAAACAAATGGACCCTTAAACTAAGACTAATTTTTACCTCATGAAAATATTTAATTGAAAACATATAAAAATAACATACAAAATTATTTTGAATGACAATTGGCATCGAACTAACACATTAGTGACTTCATGAAAGCCCATTTCAACTAGAGGTGATAATGGGGCGAGGCCCGTCCCTGCCCATCCGTAATCCTGCGCTCTAAAGTCCTCTCCCCGCTCCTGATATCATAACCATAAGGAATTTTTGTTACCGGTAAGCAAATAAATAAATAAATAAATAAAGGACCAATGGCGAAATCCAGGCTTAAGAGACACCAAAAAGAAAATAAAATGGGGGAGAAGGTTGTGAAAGCGGGCGACATATTTTCGTCAATGTCAGAGCTCCTAATTCTAGTTAAGTCATAGCATTAGCTTTTCTTTAACAGTGAAGTGTATCCGTATTTCCAGGCCATTAGAATATCGACGACGAGGGAATATATAAAAAAAAAAGGGGGGGAAATAATATGCAAATATGGAAAGGAGCCCGGTTCACGTATACATCTCCGATGGCGCGATGGCTCCTCTCTCGTCCCTCTTCCACTAAATTGTTCGTTGGAGGTCTCTTTCTCTCTTTGTTGGATGCTGCTTTTAATCTCCGATTATTATACGTGGCTTCGTGCATATCTAATTAGTGCTCTATTGGGTAGCATTCCATATGTTTGAGAAAATGTTCCAATGACTTCTTCACGTGATGCTGCTAGCATGGTTGCACTATGTACAAGGTTACTCAAGTATTGCAGCACTAACCTGAGAAGATGAAGGGATATGGCATCTATCTACCTGTGGAGATAAATAGAGTCCGCACTAACGAAATGGCTTCAACAAAAATATTGCCTTTTTCGGGGAAATGATGAACTGTTTTGTCAAATGCTATTTTAATGCAGAATGTTAGAATCTAGGTGAAGTTACAGTAGTATTAGATCATTTATCATCCTTGTACAATTTCCAAAATGAAATCTTAATGCGACTATTTCAAAGGAAAATTTTTGGATCCTAATTCCTTTCTGAAACTATTTGCGGGGCCAGACATTCTCATTTTTTACATGTGATTCTTTTCTCCCTCACAAACGTCCATACAGTCATAGCTGATGAGCGAACATTTGGAAAACTCTACAATACGATTTTGGTGATTGACTTTAAGCTATGATCATTGGTCGTTGAATTAGGTCGGCATCACACTAGTGAATAATCCTTGATGATAGATAGTGACATAACCTTTGATAAATCATATTGATTGAAACATATGATTCAAATGGTTATTAGTGGAGTCTTTTGTTATTCTTTCGCTTCTTCCTCTGTGTCATTTTGTATTTTGGTTTGCGGCCATGAGGAGGATACATACTCCCTTTCCAGACAATGTATAGTTGAATACTTTGCATTTGGTTGCAGGGCTGTCTTACGACACCAATGAAACAGTTCTGAAGGATGCTTTTGAGATGCATGGAGAAATTATTGAAGGCAATATGCTGTATCCTTGATTGTAGTCTTTTCTTGTCCTTCACTTTATTTAGTCTAAGAGTTGATTCCATGTGCTTGACAGTGAAGGTAATATGTGATCATAAGAGTGGAAAGTCAAAAGGATATGGATTTGTGCATTTCACTACAGAGATTGCAGCGAGCAACGCCTTGAAGGAAATGAATGACAAGGTATGTTTTTTTGTAGTATTGCATAGTTCTGTGTGTGAGCTTGCACCTTTCTTTCAGTTCAAGTTTAGTCTCCTAATGCTCCTTTTTCAGATATTGGATGGTAGAAATATCCGTGTTCAGTGTGTTCACAAAAGATGAAGGCAAAGGATTCGGTCTATGGTGAATCATTTGTTGATTTAAATATTGTCTGCTTTCTCAGCAATGAGAAGAAGAATTCGTCACTGGCATCTCTCTTTGTATGCTTGCATGGTGGTGGCCTATAACGACAATCATCTAAATTTGAGTATTACTAGAGATTTTGTTCTAGCTTGTGACAAGTACATGTGATAATCTTGTGCCAATTTTTCCGTTGAGACAATTTTCTGGAAAATTTCATTGAACTAGAGTGTATGGGGAACTTATTCCTACCCAAGAAACAAATGTACATACTGTGAGATCATAACCTTTTCTGGCATTCACCAGTCAGGTCTGTTACTGAGAAAAGATGTTATCCACTAAGAGAGATTTGAGAAGTGAATTCATTATTTGATTTCTGTATGCTTTGTTGTTGAATCGTGAATACGATCAGGATAGTTCTCCTGTCTTGGCTTTTGAGTGGATAAGATAAAAGATTCCAGTTCTCTGTATGTTTAACTTGGTATATGGTGATTCTCCTCGGTTGCATCCGGTGTTTTTTTTTGGGAAAAGGGTGGGGGATGGTGGGCGGGTTTTATTCTCAGTGTTATAATACTTTAAAACTCAAATATTTTCCCGGCTAATCTTTTTGGAGCCTCGTCAAATTACACAATGCTACGTCTTCTGGTATCCCAGTTCTGCTCTGACTTGTCACCTTCGGTGAACTTGTTCAGGTCAAGTCCGTGCGTTTGTCCTGATGCTCTTCGGCCTTGTTTACTCCATGGTACAATTTCATGTTAAGCCACATGTGAATTCTTCACTTAATTTTGTAATGGCTTGTTCGCATGTGTTAATTCTCGAGCTGATCCAGAATATTGAGAACACTTGGGTACACCCAATGTTGGTACCACTGTAGGACCTGCAAGAATTTAACGCACACGGTACAAGCCTTTCACAAACCAATTATTTTGGATTGGTACAACCGCACAAGTAATGTATGCACATGTCAATGTTGATTAGATTCTGTCCTCAGGCTGTTAGAAGGAGGCCAAAACTTGGATAGACTTCAATGATCCAATGATTCTGATTCTGTTATACCATTTGTTAAGATGACGCGACACGATTTGGATCATTGATTCTTTAAAAGTTGGGTTTGCCCAAGTGTGAGTTTTAAAAGGACAAAAAATGTGTGGGCAAAAATAAAAAGAAAAGAAAAAAAATGTCTCAATGAAAATGTATTCTGATTAAAGAAAAAAGCTATTGAAAGCGAATAGGTATCGCCGATGGCGAGGCATGAACATTTTCAAAGTTGCCGGGAGGAGTTAACTATACTTCCTGGTCCTTGAGAAGAAGCAGGGGAGTAACTTCAAAATTCAAATATGGGTTGCATGCCGCAGCAGAAATGGAGAATTTCGGGCTTGGAGATGGGCTTTAATCATGTTGGATCTGAATCAGACTTTTCAGCTGTCAGTCGACATCGAACTCAAAAAATGCTAGCCCAACCTAGACCCACTTCAATTCGATTCTTAAGAAACCATTTCCTCCAAAGGAGTCCCGGGTGGAACCCAACTGCTCAAGAAAAGTCGGCCTGCATTGGGATCTTCCATGTACAGTACAGTACCTGCTGAGAGACTTGACTTCTTGAATTTTTATCTTCTTCCCTTTTTGAGGGGTTACATATTTCTTGAATCCATCGGTATGAAAGCTTCGGGCCTTGGCCCTTAAAGATAACCAATCGTGGCAAAGTTCACCATCCGAGTGTAGCAACACGCAATGAAACCTCACCCAGGACGAGAATTATCTCGGGTCTAAGTCGAGTATACGTACGCGTTCGGAAATTCTTCATTGAACGTTCCAAGCTAGAAATGGACTAAGGTAAATGCGCAGACAAAAGTCTATTCGGAACTCCCTTCATTTCAAGCCCTTGTCAGCAGCAGACCATGTTTAAGCTTTAAACACTCAGAAGCTCGAGTAAGGCCAGAGAGGCATTTTCCTCCGCCAACTCAAGTTTTTGGACAAAGATGTTGATAGGTCAATTTATTCATAAGCTGTAAGAAACTAAACATGACAAGCACTTCAAAATAATTTTGAAAGTTTCTGCTTCAAGGGCAAGTGATCGACCAAAGTAACCTGCAAATCCAACTTCCCCCTTCCCTTGAAACAGCAGGGATTTCCCACTTGTGAACCTAAATCTACTCCCTTCTAAGGTAAAAGAAACTAACGTCTGCTCTTCTGGAGATTATAAGGTAATCCAACCAGAATCAAACATTAAAACTCTTGCAGAAAAGTAAACATTAAGTACCTGAACAAGATGGTAACAAATACGGTCATAGATCACAAACCTCGCAACAAGCAAAACATAAGGAAAACCTAACAAGTTTATGCATCTTAAACATCATTAGTGTGCAGTGCGCATTATTCCGTGCAAATAGCCCCCAGTCATGATAAGGGACACAAGCGAGACAATACCAGCTGGAAAAATCTTTCCTGATCTTTTAAAGCGAGAACCCATCACTCCCAAGAGAGCAGCAGACAACCCAAAACCAAGGGATGAAGCAAAAACAGGTTTTGTAGGAAGAGCTGTGTAGACATAATACAGTAGCGAGGCTGCTAGTCCACCAGAAATCAATGACTTCTGACTGCCACTTTTCAAATAGCCCATGAGTCCACCTGCTCCTACCAAGAAAGCATAGACTAATGTTAACTTTTGAGACATGGAAAGTGCAGTCTTCTTGCTGCTCCCAAGGTTTTCATCCTTGCTTTCACCTGAATCCCCTTCACTCTCATTGCTATCGTTACTATCACCCCCATTATTGCCTCCACCACCACCTCCTCCTTTACCACTTGCATTGCCAAAGTCATTTCCACCCCCTCCAGTGTCTGGTAGCACATCAACCCCTTCCCCAGCTGAATCGACTGTGAAAGTAGTAGGCATTTTAGAATCTGAGATGACAGTTGCTCTAATCCCCCCAAAAACGTGTTTTTTTGGTACACACTTAATTGGAGATAACACTAACTTCGTTGCTAAGAAATGCCCAGAGGAAACTGCTAATGTTGATGCTAGATTCTGTGCAGCGGGATTCCATGCTCGCAGAGAATGTTGGAGCTGACACTTAGGCAGTAGAAGTAAAGAGGATTGAGAAAAAGTCAAGAGTTCTCCCATTGCCATTGACATTTGGAGCTTTTGCCTGCTTATACAGATCCGTAGAAGTAATGCACGCGAGAACTTAAGTCTCAGGATGTCTGATTTTCAGATCTTGTGGTCTTTGCAACTTCAACAAAAATCAGTCTGCCATTCACTATCTGCAATTACATATCAAAATTACATACTTCCTTAGCTATCCACCACCCCCTGATCATTCTATGGTAACCAACAAAAATGCAGTTGGATTAGTAGAATCTACTTGTGTATTAGCTATAAAACTTATCCATGAGTATCTCTGAGAATTATCTAACTAATGAAAAAGTCAACTGCTGCTTTAAATAATCATCACTGGTTAAACTTCTTATTTGACATGCACTCAACTCATAAAATTATGCTTCTAGCTTTAACTTGTGAAAGGCATGAGTAGTTTACTCATGGAAACGAATAGCCAAAAAAATCATGACTTTTAGTCATCTATTTTGATTGCAATAAAAAGAATTTGTTTTTGCTGAAGACAAATTTAAAATAGATTAAGATAACATGATGAGGATATGACAGGTAACAATGGAAATGTCACATAAAACTTGGGAGAATTCAACCAAATCATAAGTCCCATGCTTCTCTCTGATGATTTTCAGTTCTTAAGGACAATTAATGCATGATGCATCGGGAGCATCAAATCATGTTTAGACACAAGGATGCACACTAATTGGTGGCGTTGCTGACCTACACATTCTTTAACAGAGTCTATCCAATCCATACAGCTCTGTCCACTTGTTTACATCCCAAGAGTACATTCAGCAAAGTGTTCGAGACTCCAAGTTTACATTTTGACCCTTAAACTTCATAAAAATCCAAAAGAATTGCTCTTTCTTCACCTCTTACATTGTGCCTAACAGGAAAGCTTTAAACTTTATACCACTAAGAAAGACCTCGATTAATAATAAAAAGAAAACAGAAATCCTAATGAATCAAGTGAAAGAAATAATCATTTTAATCACAGAAATTAACAGAAGCATTTCTGTAATGAAACGCATGAATTGGCACAGATAAGTATAGCTATGATAAAAAGAAAATATACCCTGCCATTCATTGCCTTTAACGCATTTTGAGCATCAGTTTCTGAATCAAACTGGACAAATCCAAACCCTTTAGTCCTTCGCGTTATTGGGTCAATAACAAGCCTAGCTGCATACATCAGTTACACAGTATCAACCCGAAACAATTATTGACTCATAATGGGAACTGCATAGGATTTTTATATAAAAATATCAATCCTTTACCAAAATTGAAAAAACTTTCAAAACACTTGTTCAGGTAAAAAAAAAAAAAGCAATTAATAATCCCTCAAAAAAAACGCGATATAGCAGAAAAATCACCAATCTTTTTCAGTAAGCTACTAAAAGCTATCCAAATCACCTTGCGTAACCAGACCGAATGGTGAAAACAGACTCTTCAATTCTTCAGCAGTCGTGTAAAATGATAATCCTACCAAAAAACCAACAAAATCAGGAATACATCGAAAAACCAGACTATACCATACACATCTAGCAACAGACGACTCTTAACTCTACCAGAAACTTCCGTACAAAGAGCATAATGAGTATAAGCAAAGAAACCCAGATTCGCCAGTGTTGTTGAAATATAGAGACAGAGAGAGCATATCACTTACTGCTTACAAATAGTTCTAGACCTCTTCTGGCCATCTGGGGTTCTAGAGAGTGGAGCAATCGGTAATAAAAGAGCGTGCAACTTTTCCAAATTACCAGTTAGTCCTGAAGTTTGTTCGGTGAACCATTATATTATCAGAATTTCCTTTTAGGCGCACTATAAGCTCTCTCTACCTCTTGTTTTTTGAGGTTGATTTTTGGATTTCACCAATTACGTTAGTACTGAATAGCCTATTATTAATGTACATGGTATATGCTTCTTTATTTTGTTACAAAATAGCTAATATTTGATTTGCATTGTAAAAAGAAAGAAACTAAATTCACAATGTTTTTTTAAAATCTACTCCCCATATTTTATTGAGAATATACTTTTTTATAGTAAATATTTTTAAATGTTTTTCTCTGTATGTAAGAAAATGTTACAAAGAAATTATGTGCGTATTGATTAAATTGTTTTTTGCTTCATGTACTCTTAAACTTGACTTTTGCTCTTAAGTTGTTTAAATAAGAAATTGTCTGTGTATGCAGTTGGCATTTAATCAAATATTATGAAAGTTATTTTCCTTAGCATAGTTTTTTTTGTCTAACAATTCCACATTTATTTGAGAAGGTACTTATTTCTATTTCATTACCTTCTACGTGGGGAGTTTTTGTAAATTTTTATAGCAAAACTAAATTGTAGTAGCATATGAGATAGGTGGTTGGAAAATTCAAAAAGCTAATAAAGCTTTTTATAGAAACGGAGTGATTGAAGTGTGGTTTCCTTACTTAATTTATTTTTTCAATTTTATTTATAATGAGTGATGTTAAATCTTAATTAATAGACAAATGACTGCTTAATTTTGTTAATCCACTATTGTTACTAAAAAAATCTTCAACACTAAATTGCCTACAACTTTTCCCTTTTAAGATTGCGTCACAATTTCACAACTAGCTAAGGGATGAATTTGTAGATGAAACTACTTATAATTTAACAAACTTGAGCAACAAAAAAGACGAGGAGGGTTGAGGGGGACAATTAAAATTCGAGAGGCCTCCCTGAGTAGTGGTATTTAGTGGAGGGGGTTTTCTGCAATTCACAAAACATACTACTCGTCACTGGAGAGCCTTTCTGGAACCTAAAAATTACTATCAAAATTACATCATCGACGCTGTAACAAACAAAATACAGAAAAGAAATGGCGTGGAGGAGTAATCTCTCAAAGAATCTCAAGGAGCTTCGAATCCTCTTCTCCCCATCGGCTCCAGCCAGCTCTTCAACAAGGTACCACTGTTAGGCTTCCTTCTCGTACAATATATTTTGTTTAGTATTTCCGTCGGCTTAAGTTTCCTTTCCCCCTTTTCCCTCTCAATAATGGTTTCGGATGCATCATTCACAGAGTATTCATTGAAAGGAATTACAAGGATCTTAAGAAACTCAATCCCAAACTTCCGATTTTGATCCGGGAGGCCGATAATACAGAGCCTCAGCTTTGGGCTAGATTTGGTATGTCTTTTTACCCCCTTCAAATTTCTATTTATGTCTCCCAACTTTAGATTTCTGTGGAATGCGATGATAAGTTTGAGCTTTTTTTAAAAAATGATAAATTTAGATATAACAAAAAACGTCATAGGGGAATAGTAGCCCGTTTTCGTCACTATGTTGATGTAGAAGTGGAGAATCTAGGAAGCTCAACTTGTCCTGCAATTGATCTTGGCATTCTAAAGATTCCGACTTTTGAGAGAGTTCAGATTTTCGTTTGCTCCGTGAATAAAAGAGGTAGTTGACCTAATGGCATTTGTGACACGTTTCCCAAATTTTTGGGATTGTTAGGAGAAATCAACTTGGACGTTTTGGATGGTTAGTGCATGCAATTTGGTTTAAAGTGTTTGATACAACAATTAGGAAGACTAGTTTATTATGAAATAGTTGTAACCTACTTTAATTCCTCTTGCGTTGCGTATCTTTGTCTTGTTTGTAATTTGGTCACATCTTATTTGTGCTTTACTATTGCTTATGGATCTTTTTGTGTATGACTAGATTTTGGAGTTGAAAGAGGAATACGTTTGGATAGTATGACAGAGGATCAGATCTCAAAGGCACTAGAGGATCTTGCTAAAGTTGGGGCAGCTCTCAAATCTTGATGTAGGTGTCTATGGTCCTTTATTTTTAATAAAGCAATGGTTGCTGGAAAATGCCATATCATGTTCTCCATTTGTTCTAAGCAACTTGATTTTCTCTTTTTAATGAAATTGAGACGAGTTTTTTCCCCCTTGCTGAAACTAAGAAATTGGGAATGGGTTATTAAAAGTTTATGCTATTCTGCATGAATTTCAAACTGCCTAGTTTGTTTGGATTGTCTGTACTGTTTGGCGGATATGAATGCCATATCCTGCAAGCATACTAATTAGTGTTAATAGTTTTATTAAACTGATATATCTGGTCAGCTATTCAATGTTGATCTTCTTTTGATCTGGGGAAGGGGGAATGGTGGGGAGCTGCAACTGTGCTCCCATGAGAAGGGATTCTGGCTGCATTTTCTTTAGCCCTGCATTTTAGAAATTTGAACCAGTTCTGCTTAAACTTTATCAGGGTAACTCTATGTGGTACACCTTCGCATATGGGATTGTTGATCCTATGAGGAAGTTGAGGTTGCAAAGTCCCAGAGTTATGACTTTATGGTTCTAGGATTCCTTTCTGAAAAGCATGACTCTCTTTTCTATATATCTGGACATCCTTTTATTTATTTATTTATTTTTGGGGGGGGGTGTGTGGGTTGGTGGGGGAGGGAGAAGAAGGCGGGTGGTGCTGGAACTGTACTCCCATGTGAAAAAGATTCTAGCTTGTGTTTTCTTATTCCCGAATTATGGATATTTGACCCAGTTCTGCTTAAAACTTATGTTGGTAATCTATATATAATACAATTTGGCATTTGGAATGGTTGATCCTGTGGGGAAATTGAGATCATGAAGTCCTTGAAGTATGACTTTATGATTCTAGGATTCCTTTCTGAAATGTATGGCTCTCTCAATCACTTTCATTTTTATTTTGTCTGGGTTAGTATGTCCTTTTAAGACTTCTGTTCTACTGTTACATGTAGGTCCAATGGACATTTAAGATGAGATTGTACTTAGTGCTCTAGTGGCTAGGTGAGAAAACCATGTAGTCTGGTTTGTCTAATAGGTTATTGCAACAGATTTTTGGTTGTCATAATACTAAAGGTAGGAGGCAAAAACTGGAGATGCTGGCTTATCTGCCTGCTAGGTAGTAGCTATAACCTAAATGAATCCTTCTTGGATGTCTCAGCTTATAGCATCATTGGGATAAAGACTTTGGGATGCTCACATGAAATAAAATTTTGCCAATTAGGTATTGGTGCTGGAGAAGCTTTTTAGGTACTTTGTTGGGAATGGTCCTTTTCAGAATAGGATGCAAGAAAGAAGTTGAATAGAGTTCTGCAGCTCTTTTTTTTCCCTGGAATAGCAGTTGGCTTTGCGCCTAGGGCCAGCATTTGGTTTTAGCTTTATTGCCTAGAGACAGAGCTAAGTTATGATTGTACCATTACGCAAACACAACCATGCACACACATACACTGGAAGAGGATTATTTATTCCAATGTTGTTGTGACTTCTCATGCATCATTCTGTAATTGAAAAACCACTGAGAAAAAAATCTCCCCTCAATTTCTCTTCAACAACTTTGACTTAGAAAGATAGCCTCCTTCAATTTGTATAGTTTGTCTCTGGAGAAGCTGTGTAGTTTGGGTTCCAATCTTTTTTGGTAATTGGTTTTGGTCTCAAGATCATTTGATAGTTGGTCACAAAATCTACATTGAGTGGCCGGTTCACAAGGTATAAAAGGATAGTCCTCGGATATATTACTGCACATTCAGAGAACAGCCCAAAACAAGGACCTGCATGCCCTGAATGTTGAAAGTAGGTTTGTGGTAAAAGAAATTTAGCAATAGCAATCTTGATTTGAATGAGAGATGATATACATGAGTTCTGCCTGTTTCAGACTTGGCCAAAAATTTGCCTTTGGCTGCACTTTGTTAAAATTATGGATCATTGGTCTTACTTCTTAAACATCTATGGCAGACACTTTTTGATGTCTGCAAGCACAAAAAGTTGATGAAAACAATCAGCAAATGAGAAAGGCACCGAATAAGGGGAATCAAAGGGAGTAATGCGTGATGCAGTTAAGTGAATGTGAATTATCATTTTCATTGCTATTAGGTGCTTCCAAAATCTTCGTACAACGTTCCACTGTTGTTCCTTTGGTCGATCTGCGGCTCTTTCTGCATGTTGTACAGCTTGTGCCTGCTCCCTTCCCCCAAAATTCTACGTGTTCATGCATTTCACGATTGCGGTGCTATAGATCAGCGATTTCTAGTTGTTCTGCGCCTAAGTAGCATACTGAATTTTAGCTTGTTAATATCATGGATGAAACTGGTAAGAATTTTTACTAGCCATTGCATTGATCAGGAGGCATGATCCATGATTATAATCGTTAATTAGGAATGATCCTTGGTGAACAACTTGGAGTTGGCGTGCTTGGGCTGAGACATGAAGCTGTGAATAGGTTAGAAGGCCCGATACACGATTTATGCTTGCGTAACTAGCATTCCATCTTTTTGGCTATTCCATTTTCCTGTTTCTTTCATCGTTTTAGCGACAGTCAAACGTGGTAAATTAGCAAATTCCCGCTTCTGAACACGAGGAGTCAAGTATCGAAATACCCACAGAGATTGGGCAAAATGTGGAAACAAAAATTTTTTAAAAAAAAAAACATTATCCATCTACTACTTCCTTTATGAACATTTTTCTTTTTGGGGTTTCAACTAAAAACTTCAAACTCTACAAGGAGGAAGGTAAAAGGGAAGGGTTTGAAAGTTGAGCCATGAATATTATGATTAATTGGATAATGTTCTCACCAATTAAGTTGGATTTTGGAAAAAAAAAAAAAAATTTGATAGTAATCCTAAAAGTATCATCAATTGTGCACTCCAACGTTCCGATTCAAGAAATTGTATTATATTTAAAGAACCTCTTGTGAAACAAATTGGTGTACGTATTATATATCTATTGTAGTACCATCTAAAGGAGGTCTGTTGATAACGGGGATGGAATGGGATTGCCTTAATGGAATTTTTTTTTTAATTGGGTTCTAGCTTTGGCCCTAACTTTGTAATTCATGGATTGCCCTTAATTGGGCGCTGACTTTG